CTTTTCCTTCTTTCTTGTCTTCTTAATGACTTTTTGCTTTCTTCATGTATGATGTTCTTGATGTCCTCCCACAACTCTTGTGGTCTTCGATCTTTAGTGTTTAATTCATCAAATCTCTTGTAGCATAGTGGTTACGAATGTGGTGGCGAACCACAATGTCAGCAGTTCGAAACTACCAGCTGTTCTATGGGAGAAAGATGAGGCTTTCTGCTCCTGTAAAGATTTACAGCCTCGGAAACCCTGTACAGGGTCGCTATGAGTCGAAACCGACTCCACGGCACATAACAATGACAACAAAACTTTATTTATAGTTATCTGAAATGGGAATTTCATATGACTTTCATCTGTGTCAAATCGTCTCCTTCTGATTGTTCCTCCAACCATTCAAAAATGTAAAACTATCTGAGCACACAGACCATACTTAGAAAAACAATGATTGGTCTAGGAGTGGAGGTCCCTGGGACCATCAAGGGAGAAAAAAAGCAGAGAGTGGGACCCTACCCAGAGAAACAGTGACACCAGAGATGGAGGCAGAGATGATGATGTGGAGAGATGGAGTGGCTGGAGATAAAATTTGCACTGCACTGCAAGGTTGGTTTGAACCACAAGGTCAGTGGTTCAAGCTCACCAGCCATTCCTTGGAAATGGAAATTCCAGGGTCGCTGTGGGTCAGAACTGACTCGATGGCACTCAAAAACCTACCACAAATGATATGGAGAGATGGAGCAGTTGGGAAATCTAGACACAGAGAGGGAGAGGGTCTGTATGCTGATGACCGGGGGGCAGGCTTGCAGGGTATACCGTTTGGTTGGTTGATGATGCATGGAGGGGATTGTAGCCAAGGCAGTGTAATGATATACAATAGGAAGAATGCAAAGCTAATATTCTCCCATGTAAACTATCACATAATTCACAATAAAACATTAAAAAAAAAATAGTGGTGGGCTGGATATAACCAGTCGACTGTAGTTTGCCAATTCTTGTCCTAGCCTCCACAGTTTTCTTTGAACTTTGATACTTGGTACTAGTTTTTAGTACCACCCTCGGCAGTCAGTTTGCCACACTGTGGTGGTTTGTGAGTTGCTGTGATGCTGGAAGCTAAGCCATTGGTATTTTATCTACCAGTAGGGTCACTCATGGTGGATGGGTTTCAGCTGAGCTTCCAGATGAAGACTAGGAAGGAGAAGCAGACTGAATGGTTAACAACGGATAATCTTATGCATAGCAGTGGGACACTGTCAGATATAGTACCAGAAGAGCTCCTTAGGTTGGAAAGCACTAAATATACAACTGGGGAAGAGTTGCCTCCTCAAAGTAGACTTGACTATGATTACACAAATGGAGTAAAGCTTTCAAAACCTTAATTTGCTGATGGGGCACAACCCAAAATAAGAAGCAGCTGCAAACATTCATTAATAATTAGAATGCATGAAATATGACTAGGAAAATTGAGAATTGTCAAAATTGAAATAGAGTGCACAAAGGTCAATGTCCTAGGCATTAGTAAGCTGAAATGGACTGGTATTAGCTATTTTGAATTGGGCAATCATACCGTTTACTGTGCCAGATGGATCTTGGCTGAAAGCAAAGAATACCAGAAAGGAGTTTGCTTATCATGACAAGCTATGGACAACATTGCAGAGAATGGGTATTTTGGAACACTTAATTGTGCTTATGAGGAACCTGTATGGAAACCAAGAGGCAGTTGTTTGAACAGAACAAGGGTATACCGAATGGTTTAAAAATTATGGATAACATTGTGATGATGGGGTACACAGACCAAGAAGCAGTCGTTAGAACAGAACAAAGGGATACTGAATGGTTTAATCAGGAAAGGTGTGCACCAGGGTTGTATTATTTCATCATACTTATTCAATCTGTATGCTGAGCAAATAGTTCAAGAAGTTAGATTATATGAAGAAGAATGTGGCATAAGTATTAATAACCTGTAATATGCAGATGATACAACTTTGCTTGCTGGAAGCAAAGGGGACTTAAAATACTTATTGATGAAGATCAAAGACCACAGTTTTTAGTATGGATTGCACCTTAATGTACAGAAAACAAAAGTCCTCACTATTGGACCAATAAATAACATCATGATAAAGGAGCAAAGACTGAAGCTGTCAAAGACTTCACTTTGCTTGGCTCCACAATCAACACTCTTGGAAGCAGCAGTCAAGAAATCAAACGACACATTGCATTAAGCAAAACTGCTGCACAAGACCTCTTTAAAGTGTTCAAAGTAAAGATACTAATTTGAGAACTAAGGTGCACCTGACTGAATCCATGGTATTTCCCATTGCCTTGTACGCATGTGAAAGTTGGACAAAGGACACAGAGGACCTCAGAAGAATTTACGTATGTGAGTTACGGTGTTGGGGAAGAATAATAAAAGTATCATGGACTGTCTTAGAAAAAGTGTAACTAGGGTGCTTCTTAGAAGTAAGGATGGTGAGACTTCGTCTCTGATACTTTGTGCATGTTATTAGAAGGGTCCAGTTCCTGGAAAAGGACATCATATTTGGTAAAGAGGAGGGTCAGCAAACAAGAGGAAGACCCTAATGAGATGGACTGACACAGTGGCAGCAGCAATGGATTCAAGTTTATCAAGAATTGTGAGGCTGGCATAGGACCTGGCTTTGTTCTACTGTGCACAGGGTCGCTATGAATCAAAACGGACTCGATGACACCTAATAGCAACACTATCTTTTAACCTTTGACACTTTGTTGTATTCTCCTCAAAAATAGATATCTCAATATCCCACATTTTCTATGTTTTTTCTTCCATTTGCATATTTGATTTTTCAATCCAGTCATAAATTTTATATAAACTTAAGTTTTCAGAAAACAAGAAAATGTAAAATTTACTTTCTCATGGATATAAGCTAATCCATCCAGAATCTCTCGAAAGAGCCTCCACAGTCTGATGGTGTCTTGATAGAGTCCCTGGTCAATGGTGTCCCGTAAAGTGCTCTTCTCACAGTACTCCATCTGTGGACAGGTCAGACAACATTTGATTATACAAGAAGTCTACATTGAGGAGGATAACTGTATTAGCTCCAACTAACATTATCATCCATTTAAAAACAGTTACCATGGATTTTAAATATTTAGGAAACACTTTGAGGTTTCCAATTGAAAAAAGAAGTCAACATCATTAAATAAAAATAAAAATTAAATAAGTTATAATCTTAGCATGGTGGCTCTATAGGATAAGCATTGGACTGTGAACAAGGTCAGTGGTTGGAGTTCATCAGCCGCTCTGTGGGAGAAAGATGAGACTTTGCGCTCTCAAAAAGATTTACACCCTTAGAAATCCTATACAGGTTTACGATGAGTCAGAAACCACTCACAGCACTTAACAACAGTCGGCTAACGTGATCATTTTCATCTGCTAAATTACTGCTCATTCTAAAAAATAAGACTAACTTGTTTAAAATCTTTATAACAAATAATAGAAAAACAAAACAACAAGAATTAGGTAAAACTTTGTTTTACAAGATTGCCTTAAAACCCAAATTGCCAAGAAGGGTTAATTAATTTAATAATGGCCTTTCTTATTTGTACATTAAATTAATAACAAATGACATTCAAGTCTAGAACAAAACATTGTAAATATAAAACAGTCAGAAAGGGGCTTTTCTCTGAATATTCTTCAGTATTTTAAGATATCAGAAAATTAAGCAGTATCATTTAAAATGTTAAATGACTTGATTTATGAAATTAGCTTATATGTTTTAAACCAGTGCCAGAGTTGAGATTTCTCATTTAAAAAAAAAAAAGGATTCTATTGGTTTTAAAGGGAGGAACATCTGCAATTGTCCTTTCTTGTATCCTTGGAACACCACCTGAAAAATTCTGACTCATCCTTCAGGCCTCAGCCCCAGGTCCTTCCAGAATCTTCTCTGACTCCTTCTTCACAATTCCCTTATGTACTCAGTCTATCTCCCTATAATTAGAAACCACATTACTGCTGTTTTTCTTGTTGTTAAGTGCCATTGAGTCAGTTCTGGTTCACAGTGACCCTGTACAGAGTTTCTGAGGCTTTAAATCTTTGGGGGAGAAGAATGCCTCATCTTTCACCTGTGGAGAGGCTAGCAGGTTCAAACTACTGACCTTACGGTTTTCAGTCCAGTGCTTATTGTAGGGAGACCCACATAGTAGATAACATATAGCTCTTTGGAGGATAAATCTTTTACTATACAGAGGAGGGGCTTCAAAAAGCTTATGGAAAAATTCAATTATCATTTTTCCACAAACTTTTTGAAGCCTCCTTTCCCAACTGCCCCCATGATACTTCAAAACTATTTATATTGGGGGAAACCTAAGTCCACTCCCAACCCTAGGAAAGCAACCACCTACTCAGACTCTCCTAAAATGCTACATCTTGTCTGAAGGTTCCTTCTTCCACATAGTGGTGTATTTCATGTTTAAAGACCTGCCTGTTTACAGATATATAACTGAAAATTCTAAGAGCGTCCCATTGTCTGGTTACTTGGGATAGAGTAAAAGCTTCCTCTTTGGTTTATGGCTGTTCAGGATGCTACCCCTCAGGTTCGTCAGCAGACCAAAGCCTAGGCCCATTTTTAATAGTGCCTCATTGAAATTGGTTCCCATGTCTCCTTTCTCCCAGAGATTTACAGACAAGCCACTTGTCTACAGCTATGCCAGTGTTTCTTCTGCATGCACAAGAGTGTGTGGGCATCACACCTTACTTATCCAAATTCAGCTAGTTATTCAAAGTGGAGTTTATATGCATGCAGCCTAGCATTTACTAAATTCAGATATGGTTCTAAGTGCTTCATACATATTACTTCATTTATTCTTCACAATGGTTGGAAATATACAAACTATTACACACACTCTGCAGATGGGGAATTTAGGGTATTTAAGACTCTTGTCCAGGCTCACATAGCTGTAACTGGAGAGTCTAGGATGTGAAATTGGGCAGCTTGGGTCCAGGCCCAAAATCATGGCCCTATATTGCATCCCTCAATTGAGGGACTGATACAGTGGCTACAGCAATGGGCTCAAACACAGCTATGATTATGAGGATGGTGCAGGACTGAGCAAAGCTTTGTTTTGTTATACATAAGGTTTCTACGAGTCAGAGTTGACTCAATGGCACCTAACCATAACCACATGCTGCCTGTTGCTATGGTACAGGAAAGCATGAGTCCAAGGTTGGCGGAAAGGGCCTTAATGCCTCAATTCTCTCTGGCCAATTCATGTTTGGTGGTGCCAGTGAGTCCTCTTCTGCCCACTGTCTTATTCTATACTCTTGAAACATAAATACTAGCAACTACTAGGGGTGGCTGTGTCACCGAGCTGCTTGCCAGGGCCTCACCTGGATATACAAGTAGTGCACAGCTTCAGTTGTCAGTGATGACTCACTTTCATGGCAACCATTCTTTTCACTGCATTCTTCATCCTAATCCAAGAGGAACACAGGAGAACTCAAAAAGGGGCTGCAATCATCACCATCATCAAGCATTTGTGCCCTCCCTTCATATGTGGGCAATCCTGTTGCCTTAGGAGAAGGTCAATGAACAGAACACAACCACAGCGTTTAGAAGCTAATACCATTTTTAAAGCAAATTTGGTATTACCATATACAGTTACTATATACAAAATGATGATGGAGCAGATGCTTAACAGGTAGGTATTAAAGGTATGCAATCTACACAAAGACTTCAGGTCAAGCCAAGTCATTCTTACCACTGAGATTCTTCTATGGATAAGAAGGACAGAATGTATACAGGCAAATATTTTAAGGATACAGTTTTACTGGAAGCCTTCCTTTGGAAACCAAAACTCAAACCTAATGTCACTGAGTCGATTCCGCTTGTAGCAACCCTATAGGTCAGAGTAGAACTGCTCCTTAGGGTTTCCAAGACTAAATCTTTACACAAGCAGATAGCCTGATCTTTCTGGAGACAGAAGACTAAAAACCCAACCACAGCTAAAACAATTTAATGCTGCCATATTACCAAAGGACATGCAGCCCTCTGGGCTACCATCTTGCAGAACAAATGCTCACTGGTCACCATGACCCTCCTGACATCATCTCCACGTGGCTAGTCTGTCCTCGATAGCTAATTTGCTTTCTAACACATAATCCTTTTTTTCCTTTTCATTATTCTTTTTTCTTCTAATTTGTGTACTTTTCTCCTGAGTACAGGTAAAGCATTAGTCAACATTTGATCATTTTTAATTTACAACTTTTTCAAAATATTTCTTTTACCAAAGAAAAAATACAAAAACCAAAAGCAAACAAAATTCCAAACCAAATCTCTGCCCTGAAAACAATCAGGTTCTGCTTTTGAATTAATTATACACCCTGGGAAATATCCCTAGAAAACTGCTATACTCTTGGGGGTTTCTATCCATCAATTAGGAAGCTCATGGGATATGTGGAATATTATCCTTACCTGAGCAAAACACCAGCTGCTCCTCAGAAACCCTATACAGGGCCACTATGGGTCAAGAACCAACTCGATGGCACTTAATAACAACAACAACATAATAATTTAGTGTTTTCTAAAACCAAGCATACGTAACTTTTGCTTTAGCAGAAGTTTAGATAACTTATGCTATTATTCTTAGATCAATTGATTATTCATAAATTTTTAACTATGAGGAGTTTCAGGTAATTTTAATAGATCAGGTTTATTTTTTAAATTGGTTAATGAATTCAAACATGCTTCAAATCAATGTACCTACTTATCTAAGAGTCCACATGCAGATTTTTCTCCTTCTGCTACAAATGTGCTCTTATAACTGCTCCTAGTTATGTTTTTATTCCTGGTGATCAAGTCATCAACCCCCAGCTGCAGGATGTTTCTGGGCAGTACTGATTACAGCTCTTGTTGTTGTTAGGTGCGATCAAGTTGGTACCGACTCATATCAACCCTATGTACAACACAACGAAACGCTGCCTGGTCCTGGGCCAACCTCCCAATTGTGGCCACGCTTGAACCCATTGATGCTGCCACTTTGCCAAACCATCTCGCTGGGGGTCTCCCTCTTTTTCTCTGATCCTCCACCTTACCAAACATGATATCCTTTTCCAGTGACTGCTCCCTCTTGACAATATGTCTGAAGTATGAGAGACGAACTTTGGCCATCCTGGCCTCCAAGGAGCACTCTGGCTGCACTTCTTCCAAAACAGATCTGTTTGTTCTTTTAGCAGCCCATGGTACTTTCAATATTCTCTCCTTCAACACCAGAACTCAAAAGCATCAATTCTTCGACGGTCTTCCTTATTCACTGTCCAGTTTTTGCATGCATATGAGGTTATTGAAAATACCATGGCTTGGGTCAGGTGCACCTTAGTCCTCAAGCTGACATCTTTGCTCTTCAACACTTTAAAAAAAAGGTCCTGTGCAGCACATTTGCCTAATGAAATACATCATTTGCTTTCTTGAATGCTGCGTCTGTGAGTGTTGATAGTTGATCCAAGAAGAATGAAGTCCTTGACAACTTCGATCTTTTCTCCGTTGATAAGAATGTTGTTTATTGTTTCAGTGGTGAGGATTTTTGTTTTCTTTACATTGAGATGTAATCCATACTGAAGGCTGTGCTCTTTGATCTTCATCAATAAATATTTTAAGTCTTCTTCATTTTCAGCAAGGAAGGTTGTATCATCTGCATATGGGTTATCAAAGATATTGTCGGATGATTTCTGCATTCCGTTGGGTCACCTCTCTTTGGAATGGGCACAAGTACAGATCTTTTCCAATCAGTCGGCCCTATAGTTGTCTTCCAAACTTCTTGGCAAAGATGAGTGAGTGCCTCCAGTGCTGCTTCACCTTCTAGAAAGCTTTCAATTTTTATTCCAACAATTCCTGGTACCTTGTTCTTTGCCAATTCCTTCAATGCACCTTGGACTTCCTCCTTCAGTATCATTGGCTCTTGATCATATGCTACCTCTTGAAACAGCTGAACATCAACCATTTCTTTTTGGTACAGTGACTCTGTGTATTGCTTCCATTTTCTTTTGATGCTTTCTGCATCATTTAATAATTTGCCCAAAGTCCTTCAATAACAAAAGTCAAGTCTTGAATTTTTTCTTCAGTTCCCCCAATTTGAGAAATGCTGAGAGTGTTCTTCCTTTCTGGTTTTCTGAGTCCAGATCTTGGCACATTTTGTGTCAAGATTTGACTTTGACAGCTCTAAGCAGCTATAAAACTCTTCCACTGAGCTCAATGCATACTGAGTGCACTCAGAGGCTCAGAGCAGTGTTTTTTCAAATGTTTTTGACCATGATCCACATTAAGAAATATATTTCACATCACACCCAATACAAATAACTCATGAGAAGTGAATTATAAAAACAGAGCACACTTTCATTGCTGTTGTTGAGTGCCACTGAGTCGATTCTGACTCATAGCGACCCTGTATAGGGTTTTCAAAGCGCAGCTGGTGAATCTGTACCGACCCTGTGGTTCAAACCGACCTTGCAGTCCATGCTTATCCTATAGTGCCACATCAGGACATTTTGGGATTCTCTACTAGTGTATTCAAAATGAAATAAAACAATTGCCACCTCTAAATTGGTTTCAGGAGCCTTAGTGGCATAGTGGGTTACATGTTGGGCTGCTAATCATGAGGTTGTCAGTTCAAATCCACCAGCTTCTCCGAGGGAGATAAGAGACATTCTGCTCCCATAAAGATTCACAGCCTTGTAAACCCTACATAGGGTTACTAAGAGTCAAAATTGACTTGATGGAGTTGGCTGGAGTCCTGGTGCTATGGGATAAATACTGTACTGCTACTGCAAGGTCGGCAGTTCTAACCCACCAACTGTTCCTTAAAAACCCTATACTGGGTCGCTGTAAGTCAGAACTGATGCTATGGTATATAATGACTATAAATTGATTTGAGAACCCATTACTGGGTCATGATCATAATTAAAAATAGTGTTCTAGAAGATAGTCTATGAAATAAGGACTCAAGGTTAACTGATATGAGTAGAGATTAAGGTTAACTTCATGATTAGGTAGTTTACTCCATTAGTTTGCATCTAATCTACATCCCCACTCACATAAATACCCCAAATTGTCTAGGAAACAGTTTTCATTAAAACAAAAAATCAGTGTCTCAATTTTTCTTCTCTAAAAGCAGGCATATTTTAAAATTGATGGCTTGTACATTTCTATGTCAGATTAAGACTTTAACACTTTACCTGAGGTTTATAACATCAAATGTGAATTTTCTTACATTCCCATCCTATAAAATGGTGGAATTTCTATATTTACCTGATGACCACTTTTACTGTTCTCATCTTCATTGTCAAAGATGATATCACTTTCAGAATCTGAAGCATGTCTTCAAAAACAAAAAAAGTATAAAAATGCTAGAAAAAGCAGTATTTTTGTTATAGTTCTAAAGATCAACATCTTGCTCATTACTAGAAGGCAAAGAGACTCAGCAGCTGTTCCATTATCCTGGGGTGTGCATGAGCACACAACACTATGCTGACTTTTCCTGCCCAGAACTCTTGATTTAAATAAAAATTAGCCTAACTTTACGAAAAAAAAAAAAAAAAAAGAACAGCTAAATTTTATGATAAATTCTATCCAACTGGATCCAGTGAATTAAAATCAGGTTACAATTAGCTAAGTAAATGACCACAGTGAATTCTGAGATTTATAAAATTAACTTTGTTGTTATTGTTAAGTACCGTGGAGTCGGTTCAGACTCAGCGACCCTGAACAGGGTTTCCGAGGCTGCAAATCTTTACGGGAGCAGAAAGTCTCATCTTGCTTCTGCGGACCGTGGAACAGCTGGTAGTTTTGAACTGCCGACCTTGAGGTTAGCAGCCCGATTCATAACCACTACACTACCAGAGCGCCTTAAAATTTACCTTAGGGTCATAATTATTTTGATTTAGTAATCTTTATTGGGAACTACAGGTGGCCCTATATCTGGACTTTAAATTATTTCTGAAAATGTTCTATTACATGTATTAAGATTAGGCATTGGAAGTAATTTCTATTTTGCCTATTTTGGAGCTCTTTTGAGATAATGAAATTAAAAATAACAAAAATTGCTTTTTGATACTCTATAAAAGTGGGTGTCCCCCCTCCCGTTTTTTCAAAAAACAGGGTAAATAGTCTGGATTTCTAAATAAATCACTTTTCCTCGTACAGGAAGGACTGTGAGAATACGCCTTCGCCCTCGTCCTCGTCCTCATCGCTGCTGGAGCCCGGGGCAGCGGCGGGGAAGCGGGCGCTGGCTGAGCGCTCACAGGACGTGCTCCACTCCACAGAACTGCTGAGGATGGGCGGTGGCGCTGCAGCTTCCACGCTGTCCGTGCCATTTGTGCCACCTGCCGGTGGTCCCGGCACGCTCCTCCCGTTCCGGGACTGGAGCCTGGAACTCGGGGGCGGTGTCCCCGGGCCAGCTGGGCGCTCATGCCGCTCGATCCAGGCGTTGTAGTAGCGCACAATGTTCTCATGGTGTAGGCGAGACAGCAGCGTCACCTCGCCCTTGATTCTGCGGAAGTGTCTGCTGGCGGGGTTAATGGGGATGCGCTTTACGGCGTAGCAGCAGCCATCTAGCTTGTTCTGCACCTGCCCCAGGGGAAGGACAAGGAGGGATCAGAAATCGTCATCTGCGCTGGACCTCGCACAGACTGGCATTTAACTGCTGCTTTCTATCCCCTGCGAGAACCAACATCGCCAGTCGAAAACCACTCTTAAACTGGAGGAACTCTCCATTTCCAAAAAATTTTGAAAATGTATCATCTCAATCCAGATTTATCTACTTTGCTAAGCGACCCTTATAAAATCTCCATTATAGTCATTAAAGATACCGACTTTCCTGCTTTCCTCACCAAATATCTGGTATGTAAATTCCAAAGTAAGCCTTGTTTTAGAAAGCATCAGAATTATTAAGGGACTTCTAAAGTCAGAGTCATCCTTCAGATGATTTTAGTTTTTCTGATTTATCTCTTTTGCACTTAAAGTCACCAAAGACAAATTCAGCTCCAAACATTCTAACAAACTCAAATGCAAATTCTGATTCTGAGGGATTTGAGTAATTATTTAATTTTGATGAGACTCAATTTGTGTATCTATAAAATGACATTAATACCACTTTCCTTACCCAAATGGTGACTATAAGGATTAAATGAGACAAAATGGGTAAAGTACATCTACCAAGCCCTCACATAAAAAGGTGTTCAATAAACAACAGTAATTGCTCTTGTTGTAAAGTGCTGTTGAGTCAGTTCTGACTCATAGTTACCCTGTATAGGGTTTCAAGGAACAACTGTTGAGTTTGAACTGCCAACTTTGAGGCTCAGTGCTTCTCCTACAGTGCCACACTAGTACTACTACAATTGACTTTGCTCCTGAGACAGAAGATTTATAAATGATGTGAACAAAATTTGTTGTTGGGTCTCCCCATGAACTGCTCCATGGAGGAGGGAAAAACTAGCTGACTACACACATGGACCTCGCCAGATGGAACACATAGAAATCAAATTGACTACATCTGTGGAAAGAGAAGATGGAAAAGCTCCATATC